GGTACAAGGCTTGAAACCCCGTCTCATTATGATTTCGTAACTTGTGATACTTTGATATATTATGTGTTGGTCGTGTTAATTTCGAGCTAATTACGTGCCTTAGATAAGGATTGGTGAGAATTATAATATATATTCGCAAATTGGATATCAAAGTGATTGCCGTCACTTTGAATTATTGTCGAACTGCATTTAACGTGGTATATTCCGTGGAAATCCTAGAGTTATAGGTACTTGAAGATGTCCTTGATTTATTGGTTTTTGTTTGAGGTCGTTTCGAGTTGTATATAGGGAATTATGATTTTTTCTAAACAGAGCATGCTATGAACCGTAATAAATTCACCATAAATCGAGTTGTTGTCCGTTTTGGCTACATTTTGGATATGTTGTGCCTCTGAGTATTTGGAATGTGTGTGACCAGGCCCAGATTTTATCTTTGAGTTTTTGGTATTCAAATACTTAAATCTGTTTCTGGGCAGAAACTTGTAAAATTCATTAAAAATTGTAAACTTAGATTTTTGAGCTGAAACTTGGAGGAACATGTTATCTTATGTTGTTTTATGTTGTGTAAAAATTGCAAACTAAAATTCGAAGTGTAGCTATGTGATCCATTAAATGCCGATTTTGGCGCTATTTTTGCTTAAATTATTTTAAAATACTCCCGGATGAATTAAGGGCTGGAACTTGGTGAATTTATGTGTTTTTGTATGCTTTATAATGTGGTAAGGTTTCAGGTTGATTGGCTGAGCCTAACTTCAAATTCTGAATTTGGTTTATTTTGGAGTCTTAATGCTCGATTATCTGTTGTTTAGGTTCGGATTGGATTTTATTAATGTCGACATGATTTATATGAAATATCTATGGTATTTGAGTTGTGTCCAGGTCTGGTAGTCACTCCATAGTACCTAACTCGGTCAAGGAATCCACGAGTCACTTAGTCGATGTGATTTCGGCTAAGTATATGTGCTTTGTGTGGTGTTTTGTATTGGATAGTCAGTGATAGGCTGTTATAAATTGTTGTAGGTTATTCGAGCTGAACTTGTGCCATAATTCCTTCAACTCTGTGTTTGCTATACCCCTTGCTATATCCATGTGGGTTTTATTTGAAATTGATATGCCTTAATTAATTGTTATTGTTGTGGTATGATCAAAGTATGCGTGTGAACCATGTAACCTTCGATGTGAGCCATATTGGCCGTCGAACGGTTATCCCCGTAGCTATGGAACGTACCCGATGGGTAATCTCCTTTATTTATGTATGGCAGTCAGGGCGTGAGCCTTGGCTGGTGATCCTCGATGTAAGTCCGAAGGCTAGGTTCCGGGCATTCGTGGTGGATTTACTCCTACTGGCTGGGCCTCGATTGTAAGACCCGAGGGGCATTCGACACGTGTATCAACAGTTGTCTATTGATATAGGTGTGCACATGAGGGATGACTCTGGGATAGGAGATGAGATATTAATTGATTTGTGTTAATACTGCTACCTTACCTGCATTATTTTATGAATTTGAATATTAATTATTGCATAGCGGTGAGCACCTCGATTTTTCTATTGTGCTCATCCCCACCTGCTCTTCATGGATGCAGGTTAGTAATTGCGGGCACGACAGAGGGAGGTGAGTGGTGGTCATGTTACTGATTACTTTCGTTGTTTAAACTACATAGTATCATTTATACATTTCTGATTTACGTTGGGTACTGGATTATTGATAGGGAGTGTACTCCCTAGTATTTATGAATTTGACGAACCCAGTTTTGGGAGTTGATGTTATTTATGAACCCGGTTTGGGTGTTGGCATGATTATTGAACCCGTTTGGGAGTTGCACTTATGATATTGTTGAAATTGTTTTTGGAAATGAGTAGCGCCTCGAGTGTTTTGAAATAAATTGTGAAAAATTTATTCTGAATTTCGGCAAATAAAAGTGGGGCGTTACACATCCGCTCGAGGAAACCCTCGCTAACCTTCGCATCGACCAATCTCTCGTCGATCTTCACATAGACGAGTCCAGAGTTCTTCGAGCTACTCGACCGGAAGTTAATGTTTTTCAAACACTTGTTCTTATGTTTCAATTAACTTTCCTTTGTTTAACTTGTATAGAGGGATTTCTGAACAAGCTAGAGCAGAGGAAGTATGCTGACTAAAGGCCAGCTGCCAAGGATTCCTCGACCGCCTCAGAAAAGGCTAAGGGAGTTTCCTCGACTAAGGATGCCCCTCTGAGGACCGAGAAATCAGGGATTCCTCTTACTTCCAGCAAACATAGATCTCCCTCCTCTCCACCAAAGCAGACCGATCACCAACCCGAATTAACCAAAAACATTGTCACTGCAAAAAAACGGCCTCGCTCTATAGTGGTCGTCCCTCATGGAATCTAAAATATGGAATATAATTAATTCCTAAAATCCTAATTATCATTAAATAATAAGACATCCCACTAGAGTGATATTATTGATCTGCCCATTTAGCTCCAATTTATTCAATAAATTAAACCTCCAAATATTTAATTAATAAATTAATTAATTAATCAATCTAATTGACCGATTTACCTCACTATGTTTAAGATTTAATATCCATCAATTAATTTATTAATTACTGACAATTAAATTAAATTGACTTCTTCCTTTTCCGAAATTAGTACCACTCAGTTCATTAATCATTATGTCGGATATTTATCCACCTGCAGGGTTTAACATAATATTCTATCCTGAGCTCATTTCGGGGACGTCATCAACCCAGCGCACTGGGACATAGTGACTGTAAATAAGTTATCCACCTGCATAGTGACTATATAAATACTCTTACTTGCCAAAATAGCGAGTATGTCATTCTAACAAAATAGGAATCACCCTTGCTAAATCAAATAAATAAGTAATAAATATATATACCCATTTTATATTATCTTACAGCTTAAGAGAACGCATCAATTACTGAAGGTCTAGGTTATAACTTTGATCAGTAAATCTTATAATCATATCCTTCCGCGGTCCGTTCAATACTTATCATAAGTACTAGTGCAAATGTGCAATCCATCAGTCAAAGGTCAGCTGAATCAAGACTACACTACAGTCCTTATCCAACAGGGGTCTACTGCCTGTTTAAGACTGTGAACATTACATTTATATTTTATAAGGAACCGATAATATGATCTTACTGTTCGACACGACAAACCATATTATCTACAATGAAAAATAAAGGAGTTATGATTGCATAAATAATTAAACTGCAAACATAAATACTTTGACTAAAACACGATTGTCAGATCAAAAATGGAATTGTTTATATATGAAAGCTAAGCTTTTACAGCATATCTAACAAACCCCACCATGGAAATGATAGGTTTGGTGTTGGGAACAAAGGGGGTCGTCTATTTGTCTAGGGTCCTCTAAAATCCTCTAATAAGTTCCTCTGTATTGCCTCTCTGTCAGCCATCTCATGTAATCAAAATATGGTATGAGAGCTCTTACTTCCTTCAAAAGCTCCCCATATACGGTGCCAAATGATGTGCTAGAGACCTGGATCAAGGTTGAACTGGATGATAAAGACCTCTGGTCGCCCCTGAGCTGCTGATGGCATGCAAAACAAGTGTCTGGGTGGTTTTCTGAGTGAGCACTCTGACAGTTACTATAGGGGCAGATGATAATAATGTGCTCGATATTAGAGAATTGTATAGAATGTGTAGAGAGACTACTAAGAGTATAGAGACTATTTCAAATGTACCTCAGGCCCTTTTATAGGGGAATACCTGCTGCCCAAGTTGCCCGACTACCCGCAGTCAACCTACTTAATTGCCCGCTGTCAACATTCTCGGCTGACCGGGTTTGATCTTATCTGCTTAATCAGTGTTCATCCTTATCTTTATCTCATCTCAATCATCATTAGATTCATTCCTATCCCCCAAAGTCTTTGTTTATTCAGGTCTTTCATAGTTATTGGGTCGTCATAATCATTTTTACCTCAATTCGTCCCACCAAAACGACAATCTTTCATTGTCATGTCGGCGTGTCTTCATTAGATCATCCAATACCTCTTAGGTCGCCCAATGCCTCTCAGGGCAAGATGTAGTGATCTATCATCCCTACACTTTGGTTCTATCCTGACTTAAGCAGATCCTGTGTAATTGCTTAAGTCGCCTTTTAGGTTCATGTTGTTTGGTTCATCTAGTCAATCCATCCATACTTAGCATTATTTTGGTTGGTCCAATTGAGGCTATAACCATCTGCAAGACGAAGCAAGCACCATAGTTTGAAGCCAACAAATCTGGAAAACTCTAGTTACACGAACGACTAGTTAGATCTAACCTGAAAAGAACGTCAAAGGATCAAGGGGAACCACATCCCCAAGAGACAACAGCCTCGACCGGCCTCTAGGAAGGGGTCTTAGTGCCGACCCTCTTGATGGTCGGATGGCACCCTAAGGCAAGCCGGAGAAGGCGAGGGGGTCGGGGCTGTCTACACGATTTCTGCTTTTGGAGAGAAAAAATTTTTGGGGGAGAGAGGAGAGAATATATGTTTATATCGGTAAGTTAAGGTTCGAGATTGGTTCGGTTACGTTTGATAAATAAGTCGAACTCAACTCATTAAGATTTGATAATAGAGTTTTTACGTATTTTTTTACCATAGTTTGGGTTATTAAGATTACTCGACTCGTAAATATTAATAAATGAGATGAACTCAAACTCGATTTTAATTAACAAGTTGAGTTCGATTCAATAAAGGTTAAAGTTGGAACTCGACTCCATTTATTTACTAGACAAATTTTGTCTAATAATATAGGAGAGTGACAATCATATTATAATCTTGTTTCATGCCATAAATATAGAGCCATCCCTCGGTTAGGGAATATGGTACTTTGTAAATCAAAATTGAAAGGGTCCAATTTGATATTGAAAATCTCTATAACTAAGCTGATCCACGCATAGAAAATGATATTTTCGCGGGAGCCCCACGTGCCCGCCCCATTTGGCACACACTTACTCTGCATGCAACTCCACCAGAGCTCCCCTGGTCAAACGCAAACAATATCACTCAACGAGGCGTTTGACTCCAGATCCATTGACTTTTCCATCTTCACCGTCAATAGAAAACAAGATCTACGGCTGCTACGCCAACTTAATTTTATAATGAAAGATAAAATAAAATATTACCAAAACAATTGGCAAGCCTTCTAAAATTTTGTGCACGAACAGTAGGACTTGCCTCCAAATCCAAGACTTTTAAATTTTAATTTAGTTTTTGCATGGAGAGTACACCTTATATTTTCTAGTTGAAAGTCTTAGAAAGTCCCGAAAAGTTCATATTGAAAATTTTAAAAAAATTTCATAAAAATTTTTAAACAATCTTATAAAATCCACAAAAGTTACTAAAAATTACATAAAGTCCACGGAAGTCATCCATTTTAAAAAGTCATTAAAAGTTCTAATTAAATACACCACCTTAATTCACACCAAGTCCCAATTTGAACCTTTTATTTTATGTTCAATGGCGGAAACTATGTAAGATGAAATAACAATAATGCTTACGGTGATATAATGGACTGATAGTGATTATAAATGGTGTAATTATATCGTGGTTGTCATGATGAATTGTAAAATTATAAAATCAATGACTATATCCCTCTCAATTTATGTCACTTTTTATGTTAAAAGTACATCAGTAAATCAAATGAATAGTTAGTGAGCAGAGAATAGTTTGTGAGCTCTGCTCGACTTGTTTAGTTAATGAGGTAGGCTCGATAAGGTTGGATAAGAAATTTTTTTTAATGTATATTTTTATAGTTTGGTTAGTAAAGGTTCACGCTCGACTTGTTTAAATGATAAATGAGTTGGACTCGAACTCAATTGTTAACTCGTTAAGGACTCGAAATCGAGTATCATCAGATCTAACTCTACCCATTTACACCTCTCTCCGTGATTAATGAAATAATTGACACAATCATTAATAGATATAAAGAAACTAAATTGATCACATAAGCGTTATTGATACATTATATGTGCTAATAAACTAATCTCAAGATATTTCAACCACACATATTCATTGTGTGTAGTATGTTAATTTTCTGTCATAGGGGCCATAAACCCAAAGTGTAAAAATGAGTATTTATCCGTATATTTTTATTTTTTATTTTTTAAAAAAAGAAGGATTAAGATATAAGAACTGTACAGTCTGTATTCATTTTCTTACTCCAATGGACCACTGTTCTTGGGTATTAAATCAAACAAATCATAATTCAAAAATAGTATTAAGAGCCCAAAAATGCATTCATTTCCTGTGGACTTCCAAGAACTCTGACACTCATCTGCTGTACTAAATGGATTAAAAATTTATAACTAAAGTAATACTAGATTTGAACAGCATTTACTTGTATGCATCTGCTACCTGATTCATAGCAGGAAATTTCCCTTTTTATTTGTCTTCAATTAATTGATTTCCCTTTACTATATTCTCACAAATATTCCAACTTCATTTCTCATGTAACAACTATCTAGCAAGTTGCACTTTTCAAAAGGTAACCAGCTTTGCTAGACAGTCCCCACTCTCATTCATTGTCACACACAATAAATCAAACAATAATACTCATCTTTTTGTTATTATCATTAACTTTTGTGTTTTGGAAACACAAAAAATATTATATTCACAAAATTGTGGCTTTCAATTTCATGGTGATGTTGAAGTGAAAAAAAAGAAGAGTCTGTCATCCTCTTTTCCCCATGATCATGGCTGCAGCCCAATTTCATTTCCTAAATTTTTGTCAGTTAAAAACACAAAAAATGCAAGGTTCTCCTCGTAAATTTTCTTTCACTCACCTGTTAGCTGCTACCATTTTTGTGCTCCTCCTCCAATGTCTGCCATCCTCAACCGCCCAGCTATCTCCAAGAGAGACGAGAATCTTATTCCAAGCCCGCCAGCTTCTGGAATTCCCACCCTCGCTCCAAACCTGGACCAACTGGACCAACTTTTGCTTTCTGCCCCAAACTCCTTCCCTCGCCATAGTCTGCACCGACAACCACGTCACCGAACTAACCATCGTCGGCAACCGTACCTCGCCGTCCCGAATCCCAACCCTCTCTCCGGCCAACTTCTCCGTCCCCGGCGGCCCTCTCTCCAAAAAATTCTCGATCGACTCCTTCTTCACCGTCCTTACCAAGCTCTCGAGCCTGCAAAAGCTGTCCCTGGTCTCCCTCGGGCTGTGGGGTCCTTTGCCGCCCAAAATCAACCGCTTCAGATCCCTCCAGCTCCTCAACCTCAGCGCCAACTTCCTGCTCGGAGAAATTCCCCAGTCAGTCGCGACCTACCGGAACCTGAAAACCCTCGCCCTCACCGATAACCTGCTCAACGGCACCGTGCCGGATCTGCCGCCCCTGGAGGAGCTCGATCTGAGCAGAAATTCTCTGGGCCCCAAATTTCCGTCTCTAGGGACGACCAATCTCGTTCGCCTCTCGCTCGCGAATAATTCGTTCAGATCTGAAATCCCGGAGAGTTTGGAAAAACTGAGCCGGCTCAGAGCACTGGACCTGTCGTCCAACAAGCTCCTGGGCCCGATCCCGTCGTTCCTGTTCTCTCTGCCGGCGCTCGAGCGGGTTAACCTCGCAAGGAACCAGCTGAGCGGCGCGTTCGCGCCCAACGCGACGTGTGGCCGGAATCTGACTTGGGTGGACGTGTCGAGCAATCTCCTGATCGGGAGACTGCCGTCCTGCCTCAGTTCGAATAGAGCGGTTAGTATTGTTGTCGCGTGGAACTGTTTTTCAAACACGAGCTCCAAGTATCAGAGGCAGTACTCGTTCTGCCAGAAGGAGGCGCTGGCGGTGAAGCCGCCGGAGAGGAGGCCGGCCAGGGAGGAGCCGACCCTGAGGCTCGGGATTGTGCTTGGGATAATTGGGGCAATTATAGCGGTGCTGGGAGTGGTCGGGTTGCTGGCCGTGGTGGTTTTCAGGTGGGTGAGGAGGAGGAGGAAAGCCGGTGAGTATAAGTGTGAGAGCTTTGTCATCGACAAGAATCCCTTGGGTACTTCTCCATTAGCAAGTAAGTGGCTTGTCATATCATTTTCCTTTTTTTTCCATTTTTTTTTGGGAATAGGGCATGTGCCGGGGCCGATGAGGATGACGTCGCTTGGGCTGCCACCGTATCACGTTTTCACGCTTGAGGAAATCGAAGATGCAACCAAGAATTTCGACCCCTCCAATCTAGTAGGAGAAGGATCACAGGGTCAGGTAAAAAGATAGAAATTTGATTGATTGCCAAAAGCTGGAAAATGATAGAAATTTGATTGATTGTCAAAAGCTGGAAAATGAAATTTTATGTACTTGTTGCTGTTTTTTTATGGGGCTTACAAAATTGGTCGTGATATTCTTCAGCCTCATTCTCAAAACTACTAAGGCCACTCTCACGTGGTTCTGAAACTTCTAATGAAGGGTGATTTTCTTGTGATAAATATGTAAACCTTTACATTTGAGAACATAAGGTTGTGAGAATTTTGTAATCAGCTAAATCTCGCAAATAGAATTTTAGCAAAGGCTAATTACCAAGTTTGCCTTTGTGATTCCGCAAAAGTTGGGAGCCAAAATAGTGCTTCAGATTTGTGATTCTGTTCTTTAGTTTCACTTTTTAACAAATACAGGACTTTTGAAATAGCAAAAGATGGAGAGTATCTATCATCTTTACTTGCATAGCAAAAGTTTGGTAATCACTGTTATTATTAGTTTGGCAGCCACTGTCCATTAACATAACCCATTTACATTTCTTTTTTTTTTTTGGCTCTTTCTGAATAGCTCTACAAGGGATGGCTTAGAGATGGGTCTGTGGTCCTAATTAAATGCCTGAAACTGAAACATAAGCATTCATCTCAAGCCCTGCAGCAACACATGGACATTATATCACGGCTCAGGCATCGGCATTTGGTCAGTGTCTTAGGCCACTGTATTGTGACATACCAGGACCATCCTAACACAGCTAGCACTGTATTTATTGTGCTCGAAAATATTTCCAATGGCTCTTTGAGTGACCACCTTACCGGTAACAACACTTGACCAAATCTACCACACTTGTATAAAGAATCAAGCACTTGATTATTATATTCATTTATTTGAATTCTTGTAAAAATTACAGATTGGAGGAAGAGGGAGGTCTTGAAATGGCCGCAGAGAATGGGAATAACTATGGGCATTGCCAGGGGCATTCAATACTTGCATAATGGAGGGATTCTTGGAAATGACCTGAAAATCAACAACATTTTACTGGATGAGAGTCTCGCGGCAAAAATTAGCAGCTATAACATCAACTTACCGTCTAAGGTGACTATTAAGTTGGTTTTTTTTAACAGAAAAACGAGTGGATCACAACATTAACGCTGGGAAAAAAAATAAAAAAAATAACGTAACTTCTTAAATAATTTCAATTGTAATGGTTTCAGGTGGGGGTTGAAAGCCCACTTAATGGACAGGGTACCCCAAATCACTCCAGCAGGTTCATCTCTTTTTACACTCTCTTCAGAGTTTAATCTGCTTGTAGTAATTTTTTTTCCTCTCATTGGGATTACACTTTACTGCAGTGAAAATCCAGAAAAGGAAGACATCTATAAGCTGGGAGTTATCCTACTCGAGGTTATGATCGGTAGACCTACAAACTCTCAGAGCGAACTAGAGGACCTGAAATTTCAGGTAAAGAAAGAATACCCTTTTCATTCCTAACAAGAATCTTCTTGTCCAAGTACTTTCAAGAAAAATTATAACAAAATACTAACCAAAAAATAAAGGAAAAAGAAATTAACAACCTTCAGGACATTTGTAAAACATTTACTTGTCTGAAAACAGTTTTAATTTGGTGTTACAGCTGGATAGGAGCTTAGCAGAATCACCATCAAGACTACGGGACTTAATTGATCCCTCCATGAGAGGGACATTTGCTTACGAGTCTCTAAAGACGGTAGTTCAAATAGCGGTAAATTGCCTGTGCAAGGATCCTATTGGTCGGCCGACCATAGAGGATGTGCTTTGGCATATGCAGTACTCGGTTCAAGTTCAAGAAGGGTGGACGAGTAGTGGGAACCTCAGTGGAAATCTTAGTGGGAACCTTAGTAACAAGTTTTGACAATGCATGTCGATAATTTGTTCCATATGATTTTTGCCCACCTCTTGTGTGCCTAACAAGTTTGATTAATAAATGATGTAAAAATTGTCAATTCTCGAAGTCATATCGGTTCAACTTTTGAAGAAAATGTACAAGGAACGAACCGAACTTGAGCCAAATAGAAGAATGAATTCATATTCTTATAACGTAAGTAAAAAAAGTCGGTTCAACTTTTGAAGAAAATGTACAAGGAATGAACCGAACTTGAGCCACAACTTTTGAAGAAAAAGTTGAACCGACGTTTCTCTACCTGCACGATTATTTTTCCGAGGATTCCCTATCTCTTCACCATATTTCCCTGGGACATCGAAATATCTCTCTCATTTATCCATCAAACCTTAATTCTCTCCAACCTTCCATCTCTTAAACATGCCGAGAATTAAACAAAAATCTATGAAGTCGAAAAATAATGCTCCTGCACCTTCTAGGAGGTCGACTCGTCACAACGGTAGCACTAAAACACCATCCAACACCGTTAATTCCAACATGTCTGGTGAGAACCAACAACTTGTTCAAACCATGGAGACCCGAGTTTCTCCAAGTCCAAAGAAGTCATCTACGTCTAGGTGGTCACAACTGAAGTTGGTGGACAAAAAGATATAGAAGTTGGCCCATCTCCTTCGGCTTCAAAATCTCCAAAGAAGAATAAGAAGTCAAAGGTCCAAGTTGAACCCTCAAAGGCAAAGAAGCTAAAGAAATATGCTCTTATCGTTGAACCGGTTGTGGTTCATACCTCTTCTCCCAAGGCTGGAGGAGAATCGTCACCAGATTCACATGGGGTTAATGATTCTGTTGAAAAGGAAATTGAAGGTTTTGTTACTGAGGGTGGTTCAGAAAGACAGAATCTGTTGATGGTGCACTTGAGGATAAAAACACAATGTCACCTGAAAGGCAAAGAGAGAAGAGCAATGATGTCGACAATCCTTTGGTGGTTGGTAACACTTTCTCTCGTCAGTTTTATTCCCCTTTATCCAAATCTCGTTATTCTGATATCTTTTCTTAAATTAAATTTTGTCCTGAGAGAATCATTGTTGGTGAATACTTTGAAAAACTTGGTTTGGTTGAACTTTTGAAAAAGGTGGGATTAGAAAGCTCTGTGAGAAAGTATTGTCCTAAGTTGGTTGCTGAATTTTATTCAAACTTGTCTGCTTCTGTGTTCGACCCTAAGTCTATGATGTTTTAGAAGGTGTTTGTTCGGAATAGTGTTATTGTGTTTTCTCCGTCTGTTATTTATTTCGTTTTGGGATTGGGTGAAAGTTCATCTCTACCACCCTTGTCTGATGATCTTGATGAAGTTGCAGTCACACTGACTGGTGGGCAACTGAGCAAATGGCTTGCACCTGGTCTTTTTGTGAAAAGCTTTACACCTCAAGTCAATGCATTATAGAAAATTGGTTCCTCGAATTGAACGCCCACATCGCACAAGCAATTTATGACGCCTACTCAAGCAATGGTTATTTTCCTTATTTTTAATAGTGTCCAGTTCGACCTGGGGTCGGTTATTTTTGACACCGCTGTGTCATTTGCTGAGATCTCCAAGCCTCACAAGCTACTGCTCTTTCCGTCTACCATCTATGCTATCCTGATCAAGGCAGGGATCAAGATGGATCCATGTGTGGGTGATGACCTATCTCCTGCTCTGAAACCCCTTGCTCTTGCCGGAGTAAAGTCTGCACCTCGCCTTCCATCCATGGTTAAGGTTTCTGAAGTTCCTTCTCAGCTCCGTGGTTTCTTAACCAGCAAATGGCCGTTCTTGCTGGACTTAAAAATAGGCTGGCTGATCAACGCAGGTATTACAAGGAGGTTCTTGGTGCGATGAAGGCATGTGTCCCCTTGCCATCTAAATCGAAAAAGGGGGAGAAGAGAAAGATGGTTGAGAGTGAGGGGGAGGAACCAAAATGAGGATCCAAGAGATCAAAGGCAAAGGGGAAGGAAATTGATGCTACTGCCAAGGGTAAAGAAAAAGTCATTGAGTCTAAAGGTTATGAGTCCATTGATGAGGAAGAGGATGGTTCGGAGGAGGACTATAATATCCGACATCGGTTGTTAAGGAGAACGAAACATGCCTTATAAGAGGGTGTGGATACCTTTACTTGTAGGACGCGTTTTGGTGAGCTAGCTCCCAAAGGCAAAACCGTGCGGGTGAGCAGACCCAAAGCGGACAATATTCTACAACGGGTGGACTGGGATGTTATAGATGGTATCAGAGCCAGTACCCGGACTGGTGTGCCAACGAGGACGCTGGGTCCCCAAGGGGGGTGGATTGTAATATCCCACATCGGTTGTTAAGGAGAACGAAACATGCTTTATAAGAGGGTGTGAATATCTTAACTTGTAGGACGTGTTTTGGTGAGCTAGCTCCCAAAGGGAAAACCGTGCCGGTGAGCGGGCCCAAAGTGGACAATATTCTACAACGGGTAGACTGGGCTGTTACAAGACACTAATGCAGGGTCCGATGAAGGTTCAGAGGATGCTGAAACAGAAGAGGGGAAAGAGTCTGCTTAGACCTTCTGACTGGATATTGGATTATCTTTTGTATTAACTAAACTATTTGGGATGTTTTTAGTGTGTGTGTGAACTACTTTTATGTGTGAACTACTTTTATGCGTGGTTGCTTTTGGATATTATCTATAGTAGTATAGACTATTTTGGATTATTAATATTTGATCTCTAATGGTTAGTGGTTTAGGTATGAAGTTGTTCAAATGAACAATATGTGAATATATGCATATTTCTGTTATTGTGTTGGAGTTGCAGGATTCTTTGAAACTGGGTTTTCGATGTATCTACCAAAGGAGCAGACTTCATCTGCTCCAGTGAAAAAACTACTCAGGAAAAGTTAAGGAATGTTTACTTTAAATTCTTTAGTTTAATGTCTTAGATATTAGTTAACTGAAATTAACTAATTCGTATTTTATTTATGCAGGTATAAATAGATACACCTTCCTTATGGAGAAGATTCAGCCATTGATTTGGACCTTCCAAAAGTAGAGACGGTAGAATCAATCAAGGACATACCTTATGGGACATGTGTTGGCAGCAAGACTTACCTTATGCGCGCTAATACAAAAGGATGAGGATGGGCAAGAAGAGGATTGATTCTTTTTGGTTTTTATGCGTGAAAGCATTTGGAAATTGAAGCATATTTTTTCTAGAGTTTGGATTTTTATTTTCATTAGATGATGAATCGAGTAGTGTTCTTGATCACTTAGAGAGTGTTGTTCTTAATTGAAACAGAGTTTTCGGAGGTTCATTTTAATCTGTTTGATTGAGTCAAATTAGAAAAGCCACAAGGGATTTGTGGTGGGATAAGTAATAGTGTAGATCATTACTCCAAGAAGAGTGTAGAGGGAGTCTACATTGTAAACCCTTGAATAATGGTGGTGATATCTGCATTAATGAAAGAGATCCGCAGGGAGAGTGGGACGCTCTTCTGAAGGTTCAGTTTAGAGAAATTCTGCTTCTGCTATTGTGTGAATCTTCTTTAGTTTTCCGTTTCATTTGTTTATGCACTATTCTTGTAGTTTTCGTATATCCATATACATCTTTAGTTATCGAAAAAAAAGTTTTGGGCTTTAGCCCAGCCCAGGCCATGCCTAAATCCGTCTCTGATTATATGTTGAAATCAAGAACGGAATGGAGACTATATGAACTCCCCTAAAGGTCAATACTGATAATACATATCAACAATATGAGTAAATAGATCTATTAAGATGAGGGGAAGAATCAAGGATTGAAATTTGTAAATGATATATGCATCACTATGAAAGTATGCAAACCATTCACTCAATGGTACTGATAGTGGTGAATTACATGAAATGCTATGATGGTGGAATGATACGCTGGAAGCGTTAGTATTGTGCAAATCGAAGTTCCCCAGATAAGTGATAAAAGGAGGCATATATATACTATTGATGAAAAGTATGAAGATAAGAAAATTATGTGCAATCAATTGATAATGAGGTATCTCAATTAATATGGAGAATAATGAAAATAAATAAGTAGCGACACAAACAAATGAATAGTGCTGTGAAATAATAAGTTATTGACAGTGATTGAAATCCACCGATAATGAGAATGCGTTTAAGATTGAAAGTTGCACAAAGCATGACATGATATATACCACCAGTGTCTGAAAATTTGAAAGTATAAATCTATATGATACTCTTACAAATTACGGTTATGCCTCCCTTCTTTGGCACCACATGAATAGGGCTAACCCACTCACTACTCGCCACTGGATAGATCAATCCCTCAGAGAAAAGTTTCAGCACCTCCTTCTTCACTACCTCCATCATATTCGAGTTTAGCCGTCGCTGGCTATCCCGAAATGGCTTGGCTCCCTCCTCCAAGATAATCCGGTGCATGCATGTAGATGGACTGATCCCTTTGATGTCTCCCAGGCTCCACCCGATTGCTTTCTGATTCTTTCGGAGCATGGCTATCAGCTCTTCTTCTTCTTCTTCACTGTCGTGCTCAGCAAAGATTATCACCGGTTTCTGTTGGGCATCATATGAGAAGACATACTTAAGGTGCTTCGGCAGCTCCTTAAGCTCAAGTATGGCCTCAGTCCAGGAATGACCTTCTCCTACTTCAAAAAGCTCCACTGTAGGCTCTTCCTCTTCCTCGAAAGCCGGCAACGGTACTTCCTCGAACTCCTGACATACCATCTCATCAATAAAAGGGTCAGCAAGATCAACGAAAGCACGTTCCTCTACAAAATTGACTGAGGATGAGGACATCGCCTCTCGGATAGAAATAGACACCGTCTCCCCCAAAACTGTCATATTCAGAGTCCCGTTCTTCACATCGATGAGCGTGTTAGTCGTCGTCATGAAAGGTCTCCCTAGAAGGATTGTGTGATCCTTCCCATTCTCGTGCACATCCCCAACGTCTAGAACAACGAAATCCACTGGAATGATAAGCTTCCCCACCTTCACGAGCACATCCTCGACTATTCCCTTCGGGTACCTGATGGAACGATTTGCCAATTGGAGGCACATACGAGTCGGCCTCAAATCCCAAAGGCCGAGCCTCTGAAAAATCGAGAAGGGCATGAGATTTATTCCAGGTCCAAGGTCAAGCATCCTCAAAGCTACCTTCCCGTTTCCCAAGGCTATCTTGATAATAAAACCACCGGGGTCACGTTCATTCTTGGGCAAGTCGTGCTGCATGACACTTGCCGCCTCGTACATCACCACCTTCTCTCCATCCTCAAACTTCCTCTTCTTGGTCACCAAGTCCTTGAAGAACTTACCATATGATGGCATATTCTTAACCACATCGAGGAGTGGCAAGTTGACATTCACTTTGGAGAGCATGCTGAAAAGATCCCAGAACTGCTTCTCTTGCTTCTCGTTCCTAAGTCGGTCCAGAAAAGGAATACGCAGCTTATATGGATTCGGCGACTTATGTAGCACCGGCTCTTCTGTCACCTCCCCTGGCTTTGCTTCCTTGATCTTTTCTGAATGAGTCTCATGATCTTCGGGCTCGGGCATCTGCACTTTGTTGTCCACTTCCTTCTCGATTCTGAGTACAGTGATGGCTTTAGCTTGTTCGGGCTGACTAGGCAACTTTTCCTTGTTCATCTCGGTCTCAATAGTTCTGACCCGAGCAGCCAATTGGCCCAACTGTGTCTCAATGCGCTTGATGGAGGCATCCTGATTGACATCTCGCTGCTCTCTGTTAGCCATAAACTGAAGGATTTTGGCAACATCGTCTTGAATGTTTGAACTCGACCCTGCTTCCGGTCCCCTCTACTGCTGCTGCTGTGGCTAGTAGTTCGGACGGGGCACAAAGTTGGGTCGAGGTTGTTGCTGCATGAAATTTGGACGGGGTGGCTGAAAGGTGTTTGAGTTGTTTGACCATGAGAAAGCAGGGTGATTCCGCCATCCCGGATTGTACGTGTTTGAATACAGGTCATTGCCTGGCCGGTTTTGGTATCCCTGTGAAGCACTGGCATCTGCATACTGCTCACCGGATTCCTGATCGAAGGCTGAAGGGCACACTTCAGACCTATGCCCAGGGACTCCACAGGCCCCACACGTATCAATGGCCATGGTCTGAACCGGCTGAGCTCCTCGTGTGTTAAGTAAACGCATTTGCTCTGTGAGCTCGGCTAACTGCTGGGCCATCACATTGCTGCCCGGCCCGACCTCGTTTACTGTCACTCTCTTCCCTCGGCTGCTCTTCTGCGATGAATTCGTGCTCATCGTCTCGAAAATTTCGAACATCTCTCTAGCCATTTTTGCTCCGATATCTCCGCCTGCCGCATTGTCAACCATATACTGCAAGTTCTGATGGAGGGAGTCGTAGAAGCAGTTGATCAGTAGCCCCAGATAGAGGTTGTGGTGAGGGCACTGCCGCTGGAGGTCCTTGAACCGCTCCCAAGCCTCGTGAAGAGGCTCATTCGGTAGTTGAGCAAAGGAGACGATTTGCGACCGGAGCTCCTGGGTCTTCTGATGGGAGTAGTACCTCCCAATGAACTTCGTGTACACTTCAGTCCAGGTAGTGAGAGAGTGCGGTGCGAGGGTCATGAACCAAGACTAGGCCCGTTCTTCAGTGTCTCGGGAAAGCACCTCATCTTTAGTTGCTCTTCGGTAAGCCCGTGGAGAGGGAAAGTTTGTAGCACATTGTAGAATTCCCGAATGAAGTTAAGCGGGTCTTCATTCGGGAGCCCGTGGAAGGATGGCAGCTGGTTGTAATGGATCATCTTAAGCTCGTAGTTCCGAGCTTCTTGTGGCAACCGGATGCATGAAGTTATCGGCCCAATCGTCGAATGGGCTAGGTCTCGAAGGAGATCGCGATGTTGTAGAGCCATGTCTGGATTTGTGGTTTCAGATGAATGGAGGCTGAGTTTGTCGAAAAGCTCCCTTACGCTCTCGTGACTTGGTTCGTCGTTTGGTCCTATGGTACGCCCACACCTGGTATGCATACACAAAGACAAAAGAAACCGTCACGAGCTAAAGAAAGACAAACAATCAAAAATCACGAACTATCAGACTAAGCAAAAGAAACAAAGAGAAACACTAAAAAAAAAACGAATAGGCGCACAATTATAATCCTAAACCTTCCCCGGCAACGGCGCCAATTTTGTTGTCAGTACTTTTACCGGAGTAGAATCGAAAGATTCGTCCTCGGGTTGTATCGCAAGGAAGGTTAGCCGGATATTCTTATGCGTATATTCAATCACGAAAAAGAGAAGAAAAATTCCTAAACACTCTAATTCAATACTTTTGGGTTTCGATTATCAACTACTGATTTGAACTGAATAAAATGAAAGCAAAATAGCAAATGAATTACTGAATGATTAAAGTGCTAGGGAATCGGGGATAATTGCTTTTGGTTCTAACACAATCACCGGCAACCGAATGCTCGGTTAAAGGACTTGAATCGTTTCTCGTTCAGAGGTTCACTCTTAATAACTCTTCGTAACAAGAGAGTGAATGTAAACGATCAACTATCAATTCCAACAACACATAGATAATACGTTACCGAACAAATCTATTCAAAACGAGCCTAATTCGACCAACGTCTCCCCTCTTGGTTCTACACGTTGATTATCTAGGTTAGAAAGGTGATCAATATACTAACCCTATGATTCACACAACTCGAATAGACATGAACAATCAAAAGCACTCATTATAACGAACCTAATCAATCATCCCCTATCCCTAACGAATGAATTTAGATACTCATAATGAATTTAACATCAACATTCATATAAACCCAAGCCATCATCATCAACAAAGCAATTGAGAAAAATAACTTACGATTAATGATAAGAATCAAATGTCAAATCCAAGTGAACAATCCAAATCCAAAGTGAAGAAAATAGGAGTTTTTCAATCTCCAAAACAGATCAAAAGTGCAAAAAGATGAAAAGGAATAGGTTTCAACAGAGAAAGAACGTAAAAATAAAGTCTGAAAGTTGAATAATCAACCCTAGGATCAAAATCTGATGTTAAAATCCCGTCCTCGAAATTCGCGCCGGTTAAGTCGCGACTCGCGAGATGGTCTTTTCCAGGGTCGCGAGTCGCGGCTTCCTCGCGAGTCGCGCGTCGTCATTTTCTTATTATTCTGTGGTTGGTCGCGACTTGGGTCGCGAGTCGCGACTCCGTCTTGCGAGTCGCGAAATCTTCTCTCGAGGCGCGACTTTGTCTCGTGAACTGCTCTCAAGACTCTGTTTTTCTCGCGGGTCGCGACATGTTCGCGAGTCGCGAGAATTTCAGGGTATGGTTTCTGTCCGTTTTTTCAGTCCTCTTCGTCGTCTTCTTGGCTGGGCCACGGGAATTCTCGATATTACGGTCTCGACTCAAATAGTCCCAACCTCGACCGGCACAACCTACCTCCTGAAAACACAAAAACAAGGAAAAACACGAAGCAAAACACGGCAAAAAGACACAAGAACAAAAACTAAAAAAAACACAAAACAAACGAAATGGACCAAATAAACTACGAAAAACCTACAAATGGGGGAAAACAAATAGAAAATAAACATGGAATAAAGACACAAAAATGGGACAAACAATACCCTTACAAATTACGGAAAGATTGGTATGATGAATATATGGAATAAGTGTTGTACTTTTTTTTCTTTTGCTGAGTTTTTGTCCCATTGGTTTTTCCCAACAAGGTTTTTAATGAGCCAACAACGATGGCTGGTGTAGTCACATGAATAGTGTACTCTTTATCCTTCATTAGAAGAGAGTACTGGAGTAGCCGTACTCTTTTGGATAAACCCAAAGGGACTACACCATATGACTACACCAGCCAATAGCTATTGGAGTAGCCGTACTCTCTTTCCTTATGATGATAAGAAGAGAGTACTAGAGTATCCGTACTCTTTTTCTTTCGATCAAGTTTTTTCATACTGGGATTTATGACAAGGTTTTAATGAAGCAGCACATGGATACTCCACGAAAGATAAATTATTTGAGGGGGAGATATGTTATACTTCAACAATGCTCAGATTTTGTCCTACCGGGTTTTCCTGACATACTGAAGCAGGGCAATTTTCTAATGGCCACAAGCTAAACTCAAGATGTTCGGATTGGTTTTTGTTCCGATAAGTTTAGGAAATAGTCATTCAAGGGGAGTGTTATGAACCAAACAAAATTAATATCTAAATATGTGAATGACTATTTTTCACTCAATTTAATTTTATTATGACGATTGTGTCATTATAAGTTTTCTTATAAATAGAAGCTCCAATAATGAAAGAGATACCAAGAGAATATATTCTCTCTATTCTCTCTTTTTCTTTTTAGTTTTATAACAAGTTCTATTTAAAAGGAAATATACTGAATTGAGCCGTCAAGCTTGATTAACAAGTTCTATTTAAGAGAAACTATACTGAATTGAGCCGTTATTAGGTTGTGGAGTAGTCTGTGGGAGTTGGCAGGGCTTGACCTGGCCGATGAGGAAGGGCTATGTACTTTTTATTGTTTTTAGGTTGTTTGTTATGTTTGTTTTTATGTTTGTTTTTATGTTTTAGGTGCAGTTTTCTGTGTTTTGTGGTTGTATGTTTTGTGCCTTTTGTTATGAATTGTAGTGGTAGTGAATTCTCCTGTGAGTAGGAAATTCTCCAGTTGGGAGTAGGATCTTTCTCCTGTCGGGAGTTTTTTATTAGTTCGTGTGTTTGGGAGTGCGTTGTGTGTGTGGATTGGTGATCTAGGCCGTACATTGTGTATGGTTCTCTCTGTGTATTCAAGTTGTAATAGGTGCATTTGCCCTTGATTGGTGTTAATGATAATATCTATCGTTTAGAAAAAAAAAAAAAATTGAGCGTTATTCGTCAAGCTTGATCTGTGGAATCATTTATTGAATTAAAAAAAAATAAAAAATAAGTGGACAAAAATAAATCAAAAAAAAGCTGTTTGGAAAAAAATAAAACAGCCGGATTCTGAGAATCCATGTTTATAGAAACACGGATTCTCAGAATCCGTTTTTCCTTAATTCCGAGCAAAAGACGGATTCTAAAAAATCCATCTTTCCTTAATGACGTGATTAACCATATTTAATTTAACCAAACACGTGTTATGAATATTCGTGTTAACTAACACGGATTTTGAAAATCCGTTTTGTAGTAGAACACAGATTCTGAGAATCTATGTTTATTTATTTATTTATTTATCTTGTTATAAACACGGATTCTTAGAATCCGTGTTTATGTATTTATTTATTTATTTTTAAGTTAGGCTCGACTCTTGGATGCTTACGAACTCGTTTACCAGCGATCGTGTTTATTTTGGCTGAATTTTTATTCTAATCCTTCAATATGAAGGTTTTTTTTTAAATTTTGATTTAATATTTTGAACACGTATCAATTCATTCGTCAAATTATAAATCTAGCATGCATACATACATGAAACACTATATATAAAAAGACAACCACAATTACCGACAAAAAAAAAAGTGAACCACAAAATATGTACTCAAAACCTTGAAGAATAAATATCTGAAAATTTAGTACAAAATAAAAAGAAAAAAAAAAGAAAATGTCCAAAAAATCACAGAATACAAAAAAAAACTAACTAGGAGTAAATGTTTTCTTAGGCTGGCGTTTCCGGGGCCCTCTCCGAGGCCCCGGTACCAAAGAAGACGATCATGCGGTCGGTCCAGGCGTGGCTGGTTCTTCTTCTTCTCTTCACCTAATTAATTAATTTTTGTAAAAAATCAGTAATTCGACCGGATAAATAAATAAAAACAAACAAAAATAAAATATATATTTGTAGTTAAATAAAAAAATCTCACCTTCTTCGTCTTCTTAATTCCCGGGGAATGCAGCGGCGGGTTCGCGGTCACGGCGTCTTCTCGCTCCACCAATGTGGGGAGTCGGTCTATGCCTCGCCCGCTGGGACTTTGTCTACTGGGGTGGGGCGTACTCCTCTTGAGATAGAATTTGCCCCGACGACACCCCTTGTGTGACCGACTGGTCCCCAACAGTTAGAGAAGCGTACAGAAGTTTCTGGGCTTGCTGGAACCCTTGCTGCGCTCGGGGAGGTAGCGTATCAAACACGTCTTCAAGGTTCGATAGCGTGTTATACGCTCCCTCCGTAACCGAATTCTGAAAATAAAATTCAAATAACTATTATGAACAGCTAAAAAAAATAAGAATAATAATAATAACTTCAGTAATAATAATAATAATAATAATAATAATAATAATAATAATAATAATAATAAGAAAAATCACAAATTAGCAGACACTTACCTGACACTTCTCCCGGTCGGGATATGGCTGAAACCCGTTGTCCTGTGAGATCGCCGCGTAGTTGTTAGGGTCATTGAATAGTCTCACAGTCCTACTGTGATACCAATCAATGTACCCCTCTGCCGGCTGCAGGAAGGGATCCACCGGTACATCTGGGAGGACATTCTGATCTCTCTCTTCGGTCCAGATCCTCCCAAGATCGGAATGGAAGGCCCGCCAATCGGTATATGCCCTCCCAGTCATGCCCTGGCCTTTGTGATGGGTGTCCCAGTCGGCCAGACCAGTAATGATCGGCGTCTGGGGGATGGGCTGGTGGCACCCAAACTGGCGGAGCACCCTATCAGGCTGGTGGGGTTCTCCAATGTTCCAGCAGAAGATCCACCCCTTGTACATCCAGAGATGTCGGTCTCGTGTACACTGGTCCGGGAGCCGACCCTCGTTTATGTACGTCTGATAGGGTACCCAATCGAACTGTAAAAAAAACATTTATAGAATTATTAATGAATTGAATAAAAAAAAATAGAATTAAAAAAAATAATAATAATTTATTATTATGACCTAAGAAACTTACATCAATCTCTCTCAGGCCACTCAGCTGATCTCGGATGGTAGTTGTGCCCGTCCCCATGTGCCTCAAGTCCCTCGATCCCACCCACCTTAAAAATCACAAAAAAAAAACTATTTGTAATTACAAAATTTGATAATTGAAATAACTTAAATGTTAAATATAAATAAAGGTTATTATTACCTTGCACCCAAGGGACAACCAGCCTGAGAGCCGAAATGCGTTCTCTTCATGAATAGGCGAACACGAGGTATGCGTTCCCATGCCCAAACCTGCACATATGGACATATACATTTTTTAGCACATAGTATTGTAATTTATAATAAATAAAATTAATGTGCAATTAACAAGTAAATAAATTTACCTGAATCAACTGCACGCAGCTCTTGATATATTTTTCCTCCCTCTCGTTGGCGTCGCAGAGCGCTCTATATACCTCGGCCATAAGCGCTCCACCCCAACTGTACCCCGGAATGGTATCGATGTTAGTCAACAGGGACAACCAGTAAAGGTTGACTCCGTTGGTCCGATGGTCGGGGAAGAAGAAGGACCCAATACACCAGAGTATCAGGGCTCTCGCCCTCCTTTCGTACTCTGATGTAGGGAGTCCATCCTCCAGAGGTCGCTTGCACTCGTCTTCCAAACTACTAAAATACAGGTACTGGCCTGAAATGCCCCAAGTCTTGGGGTCGTAGGCTGAGTCCCCGAGATCCTTGAAATACGTTTATATATATATATATTAAAAACGACTCATGACTTAAGTATACATAAACACAATAANTTGAACCTCCATTAAAAAAAAAACAAATTTTCAACCAATCATCGGAGAAGAGGTTAGTTGTTATTTTAATGTAATGTAATATTTCTTTTTTGTTGTTTATGAATGTTTAAGAGATATATTTGGTTAATTGAGTATTGTTTAGAAAATCTTGAATGTTGGTTTAATAGTTGTGTTAAAAGATTATAATTTGTTATTTGCTATTGTTTAGAAAATCTTGAATGTTGGTTTAATGTATGTTTGAATATTTATCCGAATTGTTCATGAATTTGATGTTATTGTTGGATTATGGTGATTAGGGTTTTGGTGGCGTTTTTGAGAAATTAATTGACAATTTTTTTTTGTTGGAGTAAAAATATGATTAATTATATGTTGTTGTTGGAAATGAGTTTTAAATTTAGATTGGTAAAATCATAATTGAAATTTTCTCGGGTGTTTGATTAGCAATTATGTGTTGTTGTAATTTGTAAAATAGAATTATTCTTTTTGTGCAACAAGTTATAAATGACGTCTAACGGTCCTTACTTTGTTAATGTGTACTGGAAAATTCCCCAGATTGAGTTATGCAATTTTTTGAATTATATGTCTCGTCCGGATTGTTCATTTGTTATTAATGGAATAATATCATATGAACAATTGATAGATATGATTTACGAAAATGGTGGGTTTCGTGATAGTTGGACAATTTCGGATATTACTTTGATGGCCAGACAACCGGATGGTTCGTTTATTCCCGGAAGACTGAATAATGATAGTTGTCTTTCGTGGATTTACTACTTTCCTCCTATATCCTATGTGTTTTTGTATATAGTTTGGAAGTAAACACACAGGTTACACAGGTTGAGGATCCTACGCCATCATATGGTTACGAGGGAATGTTTGGTGGTGAGGGTACTACGCATGCCGGTAATTATGGTGAAGGGACGAGTAATTTCGGCGAAGGGACGAGCTTTACCATGAGAGGACCGGACATTGAGGAAGAAATTGTTGGTAATGAAGATTTCAGTCCCGGGGAAGACGATTTCACTGATGAGACCTCGGAAACCGAATCGGACAGATCATTAATTAGGAGAGCGAACAAGAATTCATTGAAGAACACCCCTTTCCAAATGAAGGCCTCCACGTATATTGCGAGATGGGTGAGTCGGACTCGTCGTGTGTAGACAGGGACGAGTATGCCTTGCCAGTCTGGGATGGGCATGCCGATACTATACGTTTGGGTACAGTTTTTCGTACCAAGGAAGAAGCCCGGACTGGTTTTCTGGCCTGGAATGTTGAGAATCTTAGGGCGATATGGACAAAACATTCCAACAAGAAGTCGTTCAAAGTTGTGTGCAGATCAGCTGAAGTTGTATCATGTATATGGAAGGCTCGGGTGAGTCTTAACAAACGGGATCACGACATGTGGGAGGTAACCGAATGGACCGATAGCCACACTTGCATGCAGGTGTTCGAGAGAACTGACCACAAGAATGTGACCGCCACCATGATCTCAAATCTTCTGTTGGTGCCTGTGGATTGGAACATTTTAGGATCATTGGTCTTATGGTGAAGACCTCGGGCGATTTCGTCGTAAATCGAGGTCGTTATGAATTTATGAATTTGGTGATGTTGGTGTCTGGAATTTGTTGAATTTGTTTGGGCTCGATTGTGAGTATTGTGTTCAGATGATTATTGAAGTGATCAAATTTTGTGTTGGTTGACTATAGGGTTCGTTTCTTTTGTTGTGTCTCGTTTATTTGGTTGACTATAGGGTTCGAATTAGTCCTCGAACCCTCAAACCCTCGAATTAGTCCTACTAAATAATATATTACAATCTCGGTCATTTTTGCAGAAAATGGCATCGTCATCCTCGAACACTCAACCCTACACCCCACACCCCGACCCCAGTGACCCCTTACTTCTATATCTTCAGCACCGCCACCAGTCCAAGGCGGTATATGAGGACGCACCGGGGTTTCACCACGGCGTGGTTAAGCTACGCCATGCGGACACCCAGTTCTGGGCTGCCTTGCAGGGCAACAACCAGAATGCCCTGACCTGAGAGGTGATCGAGAAGGTCGGCTTCGGGCCTTTGTTTCGGATGGGGCGGGTCCCGATAAACAATGCTCTCATTACATGCGTGCTGGAGAGGTGGCGTCCGGAGACGCACACCTTCCACTTCGACTTAGGGGAGGCCACGATCACTCTCCAGGACGTTCAGATACTATTTGGCCTCCCCGTCAGCGGGGATGCGTGCTGAGGACAGACCGTACAGCGGACTCCCCAAGAGTGGAGAGCCTATTGCGTGGACGTTCTAGGGTACCTTCCATATGTACAGGTATATTTTATTAGAAAAACGAATTTCCATAATCCGGCTGTTTTACTCTTGTCCACAACTTTTTTTTTAATTTTTGGCACATATTTGTTTTTTAATTAAATAGTCAACCATTGATCTGTGTCTGCAAGCAATTCAGGTCATTATTATGTTTATGCGTTTTAGTACTCAGTTCAGTCAATCCCACGATAAATTTCTTGCCGAATCTGGGCGAGAATCTAAATTATCTTTTACCCGACTTGTATGTTGGACCCATATCTCAAAACCTAACCCGACCCGACCTATCCAAAATCACATTTTTTTTTTCAAACAGAATGAGAGAAGGCTTCCTCTTGGGGGCTTTATTTAAAAGGGATGGTCAAAGCATTAAACTATTTAAATGACCTTCTCAAGATGTTTTTTGTTCAAACGACCCTTCATTAAATAAATGTAAATAGATAAATCAAATACCTAAAATAGCCTTATATGATAAATGACTATATTAACCCTTCTTCTATTTTGTTACCAACTTTGTAATAATAAATTAAAAAAAAAAAAAGATTGATCATTTGTCATGAACTCCGTGGAAATGGAAAGGAATTCTGAAGGGAAAGAAGCACAAATTGGCTATGGAAATGAAGAAGGAAATGTGGACAGTGAAGTGAACGGGATTAGGACAATCAAGCAACCTTTGTCTGATTTTGAAGACGTGGCTCCGCAAGTGACACGTGGAGTTGTTCTGGCTGTTGATCTCAAAGGGTGAAGGCCAACACGTGGCAGCATTATCTATCTAGTTAAATTAGATTAATAGCATCTTTTATTTAATATCTTTTGTTGTTTATTTCAGCTGAGTGAATCGAGAGTTTGTTTGGGCTGTGAGCCCTCTATCTGTAATTTTCTTATTGGGGAATTTAAGGTGAAAAACGGCAATCTGTTATGCAGCAAATATTCTCTTCACTCTCTCTCTCTTCTCTCTCATAATCCATCTTCCTCACTCATCTTCTTCATCATTTACCAAGCTTTACATATCAGAAAATCAAATATAAAAATCATAAAAAAATACAAAAAAACCAATTAAAATCTCATAACACAACATTTGGTATCCAGAGCCAACGTTCTTCGGACAATGGCTGAAGGTACGAGGCTGAAGGAGCTGCGAGAGGCCCAAAAGAAAATTGATCAACTGCTGCAAAATGAAGCACTAAAAAGGGAAGCTACTGAACTCAAGCTACATGAAAAAATGGAGTTCATTACCTCTGATATGAGAAGTGTTGCAGATGGCCTGCGTGTTGAACTTAAGGAACAGAAATCTGAGGTCAGCAACAAGCTTGAGCACATGGCAAATACACTAGCCTCCATTTAGCTCCAGCTACTCAACCCGAACAAGGACAGATCCAGTGATGAAGAAAATTCCATACTAGGAAACCCCAACCGGCATTCACACAGTGTGTTTGGATTCAACAGGGTCATAAATCATGAACAACAAACACCACACTCACAGAACAATCATTTCATCAGCCCTATGCCCAAAATCGACTTTCCCAGGTTTGATGGCTATAACCCTAGGGCTTGGGTACTAAAATGCAATAGTTATTTCAAATTGGTCCCAAATGTTTCTGAATCTCAAAAGGTCACATTAGCTTCTATGCATTTAGAAGGGAGAGCATCAACATGGTTCCAAAACCTTAGCACTAAAAACATGGAATGGGAATGGGCACAATTTGTAGAGCTTGTCTCTGCAAGGTTTGAGGAACTGAAAGACGTTAAAATCGTAGCTGAGTTCAACAAGCTAAGACATACAGGGGTTTATACAGATTATGTGGAAAAATTTGAAGAATTAAAATCCTGCATGTTATTGATGAGTCAGGGGGAATTCACTGAGGAGTACTTCATTGCTAGATTTATTAGTGGCCTCAGTGAGGAGCTACAAGCTTTTATTCACATGTTCAACCCACAAACACTACAACAAACCATTGAACTTGGCCATAAACAACTGCTCACACGTGAAGCCATTACAAAAAAACTCAAAGGACACCAAAAACCTTATCACCTGCAAATTCACAAAGAAATCACCCCAACCCAAACTACCCTACCAGGACCCCAATTGTACCCACTCAAAGACCAAAAACTAAACAACTCACCACATCAGAAATGACAGCTAGAAGGGAAAAGGGGCTTTGCTACAATTGTGATGAGAGGTTTGTGCCTGGACATAGGTGCAAGAATAGGATGAGCTATATGATAATGACAGAGGAGGAAGAATTGTCTTATTTGCAGGCTGAGGAAGGGGAGACAGGTGATGTAATAGACCAGGAAACATTACTAGAGGAAGTGCAAATTTCATTGAATGCATTGGTTGGTGAAGGGAGCATAACCACCCTGAGATTTCATGGGTTTGTGGGGGACAAAAGGTTGCATATCTTGGTTGACACAGGTAGCACATTAAGCTTTATTAAAGAATCTACAGCTAAATCTTTAGGCTGTGAACTACAAAACACAAAACCTCTAATGGTCAAGGTGGCAAATGGGCAGAAGTTGGTAAGCAACCAACAGGTAAAGAACTTGACCTGGTCAATGCAAGGGGAAAAGATGAAGCATACTCTGAGGGTACTTAAAAGTGAGGGCAGTGATATCATTGTAGGGGGTGATTGGCTTAGGTCATGTACCCCTATAGAACTTGATTATGATGCTATGACTGTGACCATTAACATCAATGGGCAAAGGTTGAGATTACAGGCATTGTTACATGGGGCTGAATGCCATTTGATTTCTGAACACTCAGTATTCAGCATGATGTGTAGTGAGGATGCAGACCAAATTGAAGAACTATTTTTTATCTCCATTTCTCCTTCACACGAAACATTAGACAAACCACTGTCCTTGCTATTGCAGGAGTACAAGGATGTCTTTACTGAACCATAAGAGCTTCAACCAGTAAGAGGTGTTGAACATCAAATACTTCTCAAACCTGCCAGCCAACCCAAATTACAATACCCTTATAGGGTTTCTCATGACCAAAAGGACATCATTGAAGGGATGGTGGAAGAAATGCTCAAATCTGGAGTCATCCAGAATAGCAAGTCCCCTTTTGCTTCCCCAGTTTTGTTAGTGAAGAAGAAAGATCAAACTTGGAGATTGTGTGGATTATATATACCTGAACACACTAACCATTAAACATGACTACCCTATTCCAGTCATTGAAGAGTTAATGGATGAATTGCATGGTGCTAAACATTTTTCAAAGATTGATCTAAGATCAGGGTATTTTCAAATTTTGATGAAAGAGGAACACAGGTATCTAACAGCTTTCAGGACCCACAATGGGCATTATGAGTTCTTTGTTATGCCTTTTGGGCTTTGCAATGCCCCTGCCACTTTCCAATCTCTCATGAATCAGGTTTTCAAAAACAGCCTCAGAAAGTTCACACTAGTTTTCTTTGATGACATTTTAGTTTACAACAAAACTAAGGAGGAACACTTGCTACATTTGAGGGAAGCTTTACAGTTGTTGAGGGAAAATACCTTGTATGCCAAACAAAGTAAATGCAGTTTTTGGGGATTCACAAGTGGAATACCTAGACCATATTATTTCTGCAGCAGGTGTTGCCACAAATCTTAAAAAGGTTGAAGGCATGTTACAATGGCCTACACCAACCACAGTGAAACAACTGAGGGGGTTCTTGGGCTTAACAGGTTATTACAGAAGATTTATCAGGAATTATGGTGAAATCAGTAGACCCCTTACAACTCTACTGAGAAAGGATCAGTTCAAATGGAATGGTGAGGCTGACAAGGCTTTTGTGAAATTAAAGGCTGCCATGACAACAGCCCCAGTTTTAGCACTACCCAATTTCTCACTACCCTTCACACTTGAGACAGATGCAAGTGGGTATGGTATAGGGGCAGTACTCATGCAAGAGGGAAGACCTATTTCTTTCCTAAGTAAAGCCCTATGTCCAAAAAATCAAGCTCTCTCTATTTATGAAAAGGAGTTTCTAGCTGTTCTCCTTGCAGTACAGAAGTGGAAACAATATTTGCAAGGCCACAGATTTGTTATCAAGACAGATCAGCAGTCTCTCAAATATTTGTTAGACCAAAAGGTGGCCTCACCTTGGCAACAGAAGGGGATATCAAACTATTGGGTCTGGACTATGAAATTTGCTACAAGAAGGGAAAGGAAAACAAGGCAGTTGATGCCTTGTCCAGTATTCCTGTGGATTCAGTGGATTGCTCAGCTATGACCACTGTGATACCTAAGTGGTTTACTGAAGTTGTTGACAGCTACGAAGGAGAAACATTCATTCACTCCCTGAGAGAAAGACTGTTGTTAACTCCCAACTCTGAGCCACATTATAGTTGGGAGAATGGGGTTCTAAGGTACAAAGGGAGGTTGTTCATTGGACAAAATCCTTCAATAAAACTCAACTTGATCACTGCTATGCACAGCTCTTCTGTTGGGGGACACTCAGGGGTTCAGGGAACTTATATGAGGTTGAAGAAGGTTTTTCATTGGCCAAAAATGAAACAAGATGTTGTACAATTTGTACAGAAATGTGACACATGCAGAATTAACAAACCTACAAATGAGCAACCAACAGGCCTACTTCAGCCCTTACCCATTCCTAATGAGGCTTGGTCACACATCTCCATGGATTTCATAGAGGGGTTACCCAAATCCTGGGGTAAGGACTCCATTTTGGTGGTTGTAGACAGGTTGACTAAATATGGGCATTTCATAGCCCTTTCACACCCTTACACTGCTCAAGATGTGGCTAAGGTGTTTATGGATTAGATTTACAGACTTCATGGGTTACCTGTTTGCATAGTGACTGACAGAAATAAAATCTTTACAAGCCTATTTTGGAAGGAGCTGTTTAAGATGGTAGGGGTGACATTGAGTCTTTCCTCTTCCTATCACCCTCAGTCTGATGGGCAGACAGAATGAGTTAACCAATGTGTGGAGAACTATCTAAGGTGTATGGTACATTACTCTCCAAGAAAATGGCTTAAGTGGTTGACTTTGGCTGAATATTAGTATAATACTAACTACCACACATCTCTCAAGTCAACCCCTTTTGAAGCTCTGTATGGCTATTCTCCTACATCCTTATCACTAAAGGCCTATTTCGATTCTTCTAATTTTAATGCCAAGGATTTCATTATACAAAGGCAGCTGACAATGCAAGGGCTCAAGGATAATCTACTTGTTGCACAAAACAGAATGAAAACTTATGCAGACAAGTCGAGGATTGATAAAGAATATCAAGTAGGGGACATGGTATACCTCAAATTGCAACCTTACCGCCAATCTTCAGTCCAAATCAGAAAAAATGTTAAGCGTAGCTCCAAATTCTTCGGTCCCTACAAAATCATTGAACGAGTGGGTAAGGTTGCATACAAGCTTGAATTACCAGAAGGGTACCCTGTTTTTCACGTTTCTTTGCAAAAAAAGAAGAAAGGGGAGGGAGACTTATCTAGCCCAAACTTGCCCATCCCTGGAGAAGATGACCAATTCGTTGCTCACCCTACTGAAATCCTCGACAAGCGCAGTGTGCAGTGGGGTAATGAGATTGTACAGCAGATATTGGTGGCGTGAGGAGACAAAACCCTAGATATCACTTCCCGGGAAGATGAGAAGTTTATATGGAAGAAGTTCAGGGATTTTGATCCTTGTGGGCAAGGATCTGAAAAACGGGGGAGAAATGTCATGAACTTAGTGGAAATGGAAAGGAATTCTGAAGGGAAAGAAGCACAAATTGGCTA